AGAAGTGGTGCTGTGGCTCAAGTGGTAGAGCGCTAGCCTTGAGCTGAAGAGCTGAGGGACAGCACCCAGGCCCAGAGTTCAGGCCCCATGACCAGACCCCCCCCAAAAGAAAAGAAAAGAAAAGGAGCAGACTTGAAGAAAGCATTTTTCTTTATCTTGGTTATTTTGGTAACTATGTTTGGTAAATGGGTAGAACCTGTTGTCTAAAAACAGGTACTGGTATAGCTGAGTTTTTTTAAAAACACAGATTAACTTTTAAATGCATCTGATATTTCCTGAATCCCTGGACAGCTAAGAAGAGTGTGAAAACAATGGAGGGTCTAGATTGAGTGGAAGCGATAAGATGAATGTAAATGAGAGTTCCATCATGGCTTCTCCCCTTTCCTGTTTGTGCCTTCCTTTTTCCCCCAACTGGCTATTTCTTTAAGGTACCATATGTTCCCTCTCTTCACTGACGTATGACTTATGCAACACTGATTCAGGGATTGAGGAACACAAAGATAAAAGAAATGAAGGCAGGAGATTGTAGACCATGGTGGAGGATTGGTGATCTGAGGTTATGTGCCAGTCCAGCTGTATCTACTGATACGATACAGTGGCACTTCTGTGTTTATGGCAAATAGCTGCTTAAAAAAGAAACATCTTGGACTGGGGAAGGGCCTCAGTGGTAGAGCGCTTGCCTAGCATGCATGAAGCGCTGGGTTCAATCCCTCAGTACCACATACACAGAAAAAGCTAGAAGTGGTGCTGTGGCTCAAGCGGTAGAATGCTAGCCTTGAACACAGAGAGGCTCAGGGACAATGCCAAGTCCTGAGTTCAAGCCTCAGGACTAGGCAAAAAAAAGAAAGAAAAGAAAAAGAAACAGCTGCTCTTTTGCGGCCCTAAAAGTCCTGCTTTTTGGAGTACCCACAAGTGTCTCTTCTCAGATCTTCCTAGACTGCTCCAAATTCCAGCAACTAAAAGCTAGCACTAAAGGTTAGCACCTAGTCTGAGTTGCTTCCAAATAAAGTTCAGAGTCCTTCACATGATCTTTCTAGAGCATTGCTTCCCGCTCCCCCCCACCCCCCCATCAAGCCACATAAAGATTCTAGAACATGCCAAATTCCTCTTGTCTTTGTACATATCCATACACATTGCCTATCTCACTCTAATGCATCTTTCCAATCCCCTCTTAAATGTGATTTACGTCTTCTGGGAGCATTTTCCTGACCCTAGCCTAGATTGTCCTTCTGCTAGAGTGGGTAGTCAGCAGCTCTGAAGTGCTGTTTCATTATGATGGTTATCTTACCTGGATTATTTCCTACTTAACACTGCCCTGCTAGACTTCTTTCCTCTGGACATTAGGGGATGAGTCCTTCTCCTCCTCTTCCCCCTCATCTCTATCCTCCTCCTCTTCCTCCTCCTCCTCCTCCTCCTCCTCTTCCACCTCTTTCTGCTCCTCCTCCACCTCTTTCTGTTCCTCCTCTTCATCTTCATTTTCATCATCTTCCTCTTCTTGGTCTTTGTCTTCTTTATACATTTTTGAATAAACTATTAATAAAGTTTCACTGTCATCAAATCAGTGACTTGCAGTAACAAAAGTATCCACACAGTGTCACCAGAGTTCTAATTCCTGTCCTATGATATGTTCTGATTTGTTTTAAATTTATTTTGATTATATTTATTTATTATTCTTAAAAATCCAATAGAATCCTTTTATAATATATATACACATACATACAGAGTATACAGAGGCAAGAATTTTTATAAGACATAGCAGGAATTTAAAATTTTTACTTTAGACCATTAATCTCAAAAGGGGCATTTTGTTTTTGTTTTTGTTTTTTTTTTACTGGAACAATGTGCTCTTTTTAAAAATTTATTTATTTATTTATTGTGATTAAGTGGTTACATAATTTCTCAAATGTCACCGTATTGTGGGATAGTGATGCTCAGTTAAAGTCACAAACACATTCTAACTTTCCTGGAACAATTTGTCTATCACGGTCTATAACGTTTATGAGTTCTATGAGCTCTGCAATACAGTGATTTCTTCCACATTGGGTGAATGTACATTTCTTTTGTTTTGCATAGCGTCAGCTGTTCCCTTTTTCCCACTTGTTCCCTCCCTTCCATTGCTGCCATTGAGTTGCTTAGTTCATTTTGGTCAATGTCCAGTGCAGCTGATGGGTCCTGTTGTTGTATGTTTTTCCCTGATTCCCTCTAGTTCTGTGTCATCTTCCTGGTTCCCCTCTGGTGTGCACATATATACCATACATGTGATCAGCAGCATGGGGTTAGTTAGTAGTGATTCGACCAGATGAGTGGAAGTCCTTTGTTTCTTAACATTTTGGATTTAACATTCACTTATCAGGGAGACCATGTACTGTTTGTCTCTTTGCTCTTGGCTTACCTCACTCAACATGATTTCTTCTAGCTCCATCCATTTCCCTTCAAATGCCATTATTTTGTCATTTCTAATGGCTGCATAATATTCCATTGTGTATGGATACCACAATTTTTGTATCCATTCATAAAAGGGGCGTTTTTGAGAGAGATTCTGAGGTATATTTAATTTTGAGCAATAATGAAGTATCTTGAATATATTTTGCCTCCCAAATCAGAATATAACTTTTTGTATTCCCTCTTCTTTTTTTTTTGTATCTATACCAGCAGAGCCCAGTGTAGATAATAGGCATTATTTAAATGCCTCTTTTTTTTCTACCCAAATATTTGAAAGCCCTCTGAAATAATAATTTGATTATCTTTCATTAAGAAAAAACCCCACATGGGTGTGAGCATACAATAATAATCGTTTTCTTTTCTCTTGAAGCTGCACATGGCTGTACTTACAGTAAGTATGCACTGGAGGTAAGCCTCTTCCCTACTCCGCAGCTGCAGCAGAGCGGGCTGTCACGCCACATCTCCCCCATGGCCAGCCTGTCTTCCCTGTCTGTCTTGTGAGGTTTGGAGTGTAAAGGCTAGGATCTATCAGAAACCTTAGTAAGATACTATAAACTAGATCTTTCTTTAGTATAACACATGGTAATGTATATGTAGGATATGCTGTCTGCTTTACTACCAGCTCTTGTGGTTTTAGTATTTTGTTCACTTTTTACTTTGTTAGTTCAAAGCTTTTAAAAAAGATTTCTTTCATTGTTATTATAAAGGTGATGTACAAAGGGGTTACAATTACATAAGTCAGGTAAAGAATACATTTCCTTCTTTTCCTTCCTTCCTTCCTTCCTTCTTTCCTCTTTCTAGAAGGGAGTTCTAAGCAAGTTTATTAAATGTGGGGCTTGAACTCAGAGCCTGGTACTGTCTCTAAGCTCACGGCTAGTGCTCTACCACTTTGAGCCACAGGGCCACTTCTGGTTTTCTTGTGGTAAATTGGAGGTAAGAGTCCCATGGACTTTACTGCTTGGGTTGGCTTTGAACCATAATCCTTAGATTGCAGCCTCCTGAGTAGTTAGAATTACAGGAGTACATTTCTTTTTGGACAATGTTACTCCGTCCCTCACACTCTCTGTTTTTCCCTTTTCTTTTATTTTCTTTTTTTAAGTTATGTAGACTTAAAGTTTTATATATCCAGAGACATAACATGATCTATTTAGCTAGGAATTGAAAGGATATTGAGATGATACCGTGAACAATCTTAGATTATTTGAACAATTTAAACCATAATAGATGCCACCAGCACCTAATAAATACCTTACATTTCTTACAAGGAATTCTCTTCAGTGTTAAGAGAATAGCAAAATAAGAGCTCATCCTGTTGGGCGTTGGTGGCTCACGCCTGTAATCCTAGCTACTCAGGAGGCTGAGATCTGAGGATCATGGTTCAAAGCCAGCCTGGGCAGGAAAGTCCATGTGACTCTTATCTCCAATAAACCACTAGAAAACTGGAAGTTGCGCTGTGACTCAAGTGGTAGAGCGATCACCTTGAGCTGAAGAGCTCAGGGACAGCACCCAGACCCAGAGTTCAAGCCCCACAGCCGACCAAAAAAAAAGAAAGAAAGAAAGAAAGAAAAAAAGAGCTCATCCTATCTCTAGCTGGTAATATGTCAATACAGCACTCAATTAATGGAGTACAAAATGAACTCTCTGTAGGGAAAGCAAAGTCCATAAGGGGAAATCTAATAGATGTCAGAATTTAAATGCTTTTTATTTTTCTTTTAACAGCTTTACACAAATCCCAAGGAACCTGAGGTAAGAAGATACATATGTAAATGGGTAGGAATGTACACTTTAGTATGTTTACCTGAGTTGAGGCTGTAGATTATATACTTAGAACAGAACAATACATAGTGAGCTCTTCTGGGATCGATCCTTTATTATGAGAAATTTAAAGCTGTCTAGGGATATTAGGGGAAAAAATGAGTAGAAATGAGCCTGTTTCTTGACATGTTAACATTAAGATAATTCTCTTAATGTGTAAATATCTAAACGTCTCCTTTTATTATTTATTTTAATTGATTTCTTGATCTGCTTATGGAATTTTGGAAAAATTAATGAGATGTGTCATAATTCTAATTTTTTTTTGCCAACTAAATTCTCCCCTTGTTTTGTAGCCTCCCCTCCCCCCCCCAGCATTTTATCTCCTTACTTCTCTTTCTAGATCTCTCCCCCTGGCTTAGTCATCCTCAAGGCCATCTTACATCCAAATCTTTGATGAAAACATCTTTGGCTGGTGGGTGGACACCATCTTTTTCCTTCTTTAACTTTCTTCTTCAGCAGAGGCCTGGACTTTAACACTCTCCATTGAGTCATGTGGGGGATTTCCTGGCAGATTGGGAGTGGGCTACTGGGGTGGATGGTAAAGTCTTGGGCACACAGTTGTTACACTGGTGTGGAACTGTCTCCGGGGGAGCCAGAAGTGGAGAGGGAGAAGCTCTTTGTTTTCTTTGTCTTCCTCTCGCCTTGCTCTCAGTTTGTTCTTCTCCAAGCCACTAGCTTTAGTCTACCTGGTGGTATTGGAGACTGGGTTAAGTGTTTTTAGCTGCTCATATTCTCTTGCGAAGTTACAGGGCTGTGTGAGCCGGAGGAGGAGACGCAGGCAGGTGGCCGGTCTCCACTTGCACCTGTCTCCACCTTTGTACTTTCTTTGCTTCCAGAATGCACCTTGCTGCAGTGCTGGCCTTGCTTTCTTACGCATGTAAAACACCTAGTTTCAAACCAGCTGTTTTTAGGATAATGAAATGCTGAGCAACTTGGGCTGAGCTACAGAAAAATTTTAGAGTGGAAAGAAAACTAATGTGGTTAGGAAATGAAGCCTTGTCATATAGATCAATTCTGAGCTATCATTTGACATTATTGTGAACACTTGCAGATGTTCCTTGTAGTAGTGATTCCTTAACCACTAGATATTCGTGGCATACATTTGCTTACTAAAAAAGTTGGTGGTGCTAGGTGCCAGTGACTCATGCCTGTAGTCCTATCTACTTTGGAGGCTGAGAAAAGGAGGTTTAAGGCTTGAAGCCAGCCAGGGAAGAAGATTTTGTGAGACCCCCCTTCTCAACTCATTGCTGGGTACAGTTGTACACATCTGTCTTCATCAACCTACCTGGGAGGCTGCGATTTAGAGGGGTGTGGTTCCAAAACAGTCTGGGCAGAAAAAACTCCAAAAGACTCCACAGAGAGAAGCTGGATAGATACGGTAGCATCCATTTATGATCCCAGCCACAAAGGGAGGCCTAAAAGTGGGAAGACTGAGACTCAGGCATGCCCATAGGTTAGCAGCCAGACTCTATTTGTAAAATAATCAGTTAAAAAACAGGGCTTTAGGTGTGGCTTGGCCTAGCAATTGGAAGGCCCCGTTCGGATTTGAATAAAACCTGAAAAAAAAAGTGGCACGTTTGAGGGTATTCAATAACTTAGAGTCAGCAAAAATTCCAGTATTGCTACTATGATAGCCTAGCAATATTGACAGTGCGCAAAAGCATCCGGACGCGACACAGCTGTACAGCTGCCATTCATCACTAAGACACTGGCCCAACTGCCTGCTCCCAATCGCATTCTCACATGCACTCACACTCAGAACACACATAGTCCTCAGCATTGTCTGATCCTGTGCCAAACACTTGAGTCATAGCCCTAGATGTACATCCTGCCCTAAACAAATTTGCACAAACAATAACAATGACAATATGTAGCTGAAGCAAAAATATATTTGGAGACAAGAGCCAGAGGCTCACACCTTTAATTCTAGCTACTCAGGAGGCTGAGATCTGAGGATTGTGGTTTGAAGCCAATTTTCACAGGAAAGTTTTGAATCTCCATTAACCAGCAAAAAGCCCGAAGTGGTAGAGCACCAGCCTTGTGTGAGGAAGCTAAGGGACAATGCTCAGTCCCTGAGATCAAGCCCTAGTACTAACACAAAACATTATATATATATATATATATATATATCAATATATGTATGATATATGATACATGGATTAAAAATTAAAAATTGCAGCATTCTTGTGAAGAGTACAATTAAGAACCTCTGGCTTAAATCACAGGTCAGAGGCCAATAGAGTTGGGGCACTGCTTCTATACCTTTGTTGTGGTCCTTTTATACCTGACATTTTGCTCTAATGGTTCCATGTCTTGAAAGAGATGAGCTGATGACAGCTGTCAGCCTAGAGCAGAGTGCTGATGAGCTTTACAAAGCTCACTGGCTTGGCTGCCACCGCTTCCTACGATGCTTCTGTAGAGCAGGCCACACTAACAAGGTAGATAGTGATTAAAGAGACATGGAAACCAATGTAAATACATCCTAGAGAGCCTTGGCTTGGGATAGACAGATTCAGGAACATCCCAAGGACACAAATGTTCTATTTTTCCATCTGTTCCTCTGTGCCTATTGGAGGTGCTCAGTGCCCACTTCTAACAGCAAGCTTCATCCTTGCAGGATGAAATCCTAATTAGCCGAACATTTATTCATTCAGTAAGTATGTGCTGAGCATTGTCCAAGGTATAAAGTACAGACTATCTGGGGCAGACAAGGTCCCTGCCCTCTAGAAGCTTTCATTCTTATAAAAGAAGGATAAACAGTAAGCAAGTGAACAAAAATGAGCAGAAGTAATTTCAAATAGTCCTAATGCTTTGAAGGGAAAGCCGGTGTGCTGGGCAGGGCTGAGGTAAACAGTAAGAAAAAGGACTGGGGGGCTGTGTTGGATCGGTGGTCCACAGGCAGCCTCGCTCTGGGGCCTGGGCTGGAGCTGACACTGAGTCGGTGAGGGGAGCAGTGTGCGACAGGCAGGCGAGCATCATAGTTACCGTGCTGCGAGCCGGCTCAGCAGTGAGGAGAGTAGCAATCTCTACCTCACACAGCTGGCGATTGAATGGATTCATGGACAACTATGCCAATGCCTGAATATTATTATCAACTGGAGAGAGCACATTCCAAAGTATAGCTCTACAGAGTTCCAAAACAGGAAGGAAAAGTGGGTGTCTGTGTACAGAAAGGGTGCCAGGAGCCTGGCGCTTCATGAGCGAGAGGGAGGAAGAGTGGCAGGGGAGGTAGGCGGGGCATAGGTGGCAGGGGAGGGGGGAGGTAGGCAGGGCATAGATGGCAGGGGAGGGGGGAGGTAGGCAGGGCATAGGTGGGTGCCACGGCCACTTGTGGATTTTAGGCTAAGGGCAGTGGAAGCCACTGAAGGGGGCAGGTTAGGAAAGGAAGGACTGATTAGTATTTTCTTCCTTTCTTCTTTTTTGGGCAGTGCTGGGGGTTGAACTTCAGTCTTCACACTTGCAAAACAAGTGAGCCACACCTCAGCTCTTTCTGCTTTAGTTATTTGCTGATGAGGTCTCTTGCATTCCGCCTTTTTGTCTTGGAACCTATGTCTCCCTATAGCTGGGATTACAGGTGTTAGCCACGGCCTCTAGCCCTGATTTCTATTCTCAAAAACTTTTTTTTTTTTTTTTGCTACAGAATAGAAAATAGTTATCAGTGGATTTGTGTCACTTGGAGTCTTACTAATAGACTGGAATGTGGAGAGAGAAGCAGGCTGTGTGTGCTGTTGTGTTGGGAGAAACCATTGAGAAGTTGGAAGGTTCATGATTGTTAGGTGATCCTCCTGAGAGAGAGAGAAGATCTTGTGAGTGAGGTACAAGGAAGACACTATACCCTCTATAGATGTTTCTTTCTTCATAAGGCAGTCAGTTTGAAGTTGTAAAGGATTAAGACTGTAAAACAAATATAACTCGTTAATTAGTTGCTTCAGGAACCAAATAATAAAATGCAACTATCAACTGCTAAGACATCTCTTTCCTTTAAAAAGTAAATGTTCGCAACATCAAGAAGCTGGAGTTGCCAGGTGCCAGAGGCTCACGCCTGTAATCCTAGCTACTCGGGAGGCTGAGATCTGAGGAGGGCAGTTCAAAGCCAGCCTGGGCAGGAAAGTCCATGAGACTCTTATCTCTATTTAACCACCAAAAATCTTGAAGTGGAGCTGTGATAGAGCACTAACCTTCAGCAAAATGCTCGGAGACAGCAGAACCCAGGACCTAGCGCGCACACACACACACGCGCGCGCACACACACACATACACAGTCAGTCAGAGTCAGAGTCCGAGGTGGCTTAGAAGCATGGACCGGCAGGGAAGAATGGGCGTTGTTTGCTTGACAGGGCAGTTACGATCAGCACTGTTGGAGAGAGGACACTGTGTATCTGGCCTTCTGCCCCTGTGGGCAGCTATTGGAGCATCCATCTCTCCTATTGTGTTCACACAGCAGCCTTCTGAACTTCCCTTGATTTTTCAGATGGATTGTTCAGCTGCAAAACATCTTTGACTTAAGCAGTGTGAGCCCATATTTCCAGGACCTGATCGCTGGTGATTAAGTTGCAAGTTAAGGCATAAGGTCAGTTGAGCTGGGCCAGTGCAGATGTTAAAGGCTCAGAGACTCTGATCAACCTCCTCATCCCAGGCTGCCAAGGATCAGTACTGCAGTACGCCCAGTTGTTAGCTGCGTCCGCCGACAGTCACTTTATCTCATGGGTATTTGTCTCTCAAAGGCAGCGTGTCCCTCTGTATTCCCAGCCCTCTAACAGCAGGAAAGCACGTGGCTGTGGCAGTGAGCGGAAACAAGACAGGCAGCCTTAGATCCTAGATCTTTTTCCAATTCTTCCAGCTTCCCAGGTGCCATTCTCAATGAAGTGCCCCTCAGCTGCTCTCAAGGTTCCAGACTTCCCCTCAACTCCAAAGTAGCCATGAGGAGCTTTTAAAGTGTAAACCACTTTCTTGCGTAAACCCTTAATAGACTTTTGGTTGATTTAGAATAAAATCTCAACCCTCACCAGGGCTAATAGGCCTTATAACTCCCTCTCCCACCTCATCTCCTCTATTCTTCCTTGGCGCTCTTAACTCCAGCCTCTTGGTCTTCTCTCAGATCCTGGAAGAGTCCCTTCTACCACAAAGCCTCTGCCTGGCTGGTCAGATGCCTGAGGCACCAGACCCCAGATCCACTCTTGATTGACCCCTCAAGAGACTCTGCCCCTCCAAACCCAATCCAAGCTCTCCTCCTTGTATCCTTTTACACAGTGCATTTCTTAGTGGCCACCGCACTGAAATGCTCTTAATACCAGCATTTGTTTATCTGTTCCCTGTCTCCTTGACCAGACTAGAGAGTCCAGAGAAACAGAGGCCTTTTCTGTCTTGTTCCTCCCCTGTGACTCCGGTGCCTGGAATAACATAGACATGCAATACAACAAGTGTTATAGGAATAAATGACTTTACTGATGCTACTACTATTTATATAGCAGATACCTACTCTGTTCTTTTTTGGTTTTAGTGAAAATGGTAGTATTCTCTATTTTAGCATAGAGAAGAGAAACTAAGTTATATTTATACCTAGAAATATTACTCTTGAATAATTGAATGATATGAAGCAAGAAGGCACGCAGCAAGTATGTTCCTATTATAGGCAAAATTCTGGATTTCTTCTTAAAGTTAATTTCTTTCACTATTCTCTTTGTTGTTGTTGTTTTTTTCCTAGAAAGTGACTGAAATATATCAGTTCAAATTCAAATACACAAAATACGGAGCCACTATGGATTTTGACAGGTAGAATTTAATTGATGGACATAATAAATATATGAGTAAGATAAACATAAGTTTTAGTAGTCTAGGGAAAAGTTGTTTATTATAAGTAGTACAAAACCCATTGTAAAAGTAGAATGGAGCTGGGCACCAGTGGCCCACATCTGTAATCCTAGGTACTCAGGAGGCTGAGATCTGAGGATCATGGTTGGAAACCATCCAGGGCAGGAAAGCTATGAGAATCTTATCTTTAATTAAGCACCCCAACAACAACAACAACAACAGCAACAAAAAAGAAGTAGAGCTATGGCTCAAGTGGTAGAGGATTAACTATGAGCACAAAAGCACAGGGACAGCATTCTAGACCCTGAGTTCAAGCCTCAGGACAAGCACACATTTTTTTTGAAGTGGATTGTTAGTGTTTGAATATCTGAAATGCTGGAACTGTGGTTGTAGTGGTAGAATGCTAGCCTTGAGCAAAACAGCTCAGGGACAGCGCGTAGGCCTGGAGTTCAAGCTCTAGTACTGTCAAAACAAACAAAGAAAGCAAACTTCCAAGTTTGAGATTTACTTATGACAAAGACAACAGTGAGCATGTGTGGCGTTTTGTGATGGGGCATTGATTCCTTTGGCACTAGATTTTGGCTTCAGGACAGCCCAGAAGGCACAGAGAGCTAAGCACTGCTGATGAGATGGAAGAGAAGAGGGAGGGGAAGAAACGAGCGTGAACAGCACTGGACAGTGGGGCCCCCCGCAAGGGGACGTGGATATCCCCAAAGCCAGGACACAAGAAACATGGCGCGATGTTTCCTTTCCCTTTCTCAGCTCCAGGGAGCTCAAGGAATTCTTTCCAGGACTCATTTCCTCATTATCCTTGTAACACATGGACACAGCCCATGTATCCATGTAACAGCCCATGGACACGAGGAGGAAATTCCAGAAATGAGAGTTAAAATATTAGCCCTCATTAGTTAACATTTGTATCATACTTTTCAGACCATACAGCACATTTTGCATGTCTTCCTGTATTAAAATAATTGTCTTTCCTCCAGAAAACTCAGATGTAGGTACTACTGACAGCTAGATTAACTCTTCTTTTAAAGGCATATATGCCAGGAGGTAAGCCATACAACAAATGGCCAAATCTTTCAGATACTAAGGAGGTGAGAAGGTAATGCATATTACATGTCTTAGAAACAAAAGACAGGCATGGTTCAGCTGGGAGTCTTGAACATGACCTTTCAGGTACATCCTGGAGGCCATGATTGTCATGGTCATTGCCCTGGTTACCTCTGTTCAGAAAAATTCTGGTAGGTAACACTTTGAGTTGTTTGAGAGGACATTCATGTATTCACTTAATGTTTGCTTTATGAATTGACACCACCTACATAGAGTAGTTAGGGACCAAGGACTCTGGGGTCGGGGGCAGAGATGATAGGGAAGGCTTCCTGGAAGAGGTGGCACACAAGTTAGGGACTAGAGGAAGGAGCATAGAATAGAAGATCGTAAGGTAAGTGAACAGCATATGCGAAACCACAGGGCTGAGAGGAAATTGGGTAATAGCTGTGGGTGAGGGTGGAGGTGAAGGTAGAGGTGAGGGTGTGGCTGGGCCTGAAAAGCATTGTACAGGTACTATCCTTCATACCTGAGGGGTAAAGGAACTGAAGGATCTCCCGAGAGAAGAATTTTAAGCTAGAGGGGTCATGGACAGATTTTTTACTAGGAACATTTTGGAAGTGGGGCAGCAAATAGTTCTTGGTGTAGACATGAAGGAAAACAAGACTAGATTAGCAGCTATGGTGCTTCCAGCAATAGTGAGGAAGGAGACGAGGGAAAGGCGAAGCAGACCCGGGGTTGCTGATTGGCTATATGCTTGGAGAGGTGTACACAAATGAGCCAACTGACCTAGAGCGTGTCTAAATGCCTTGACCGAGGTCATTCCGCTAGTTAACAGCACAGCTGATATGAGGCGCCAGGTCATCTAACTCCAACTCCATTGTTCTCATTACTATGGCATATGAGTATTTGAAAGCCAAATTAAAAAATGAGGTTAAAATTTAAATGCTTTAGGGATACTTGCTCCTTAGAAATTCTTTGTACAACCCCAAAGGTACAATCACTCCCTTAAATAACATTGTAAAACTGATCAACAAGATGTCCTGATGTTTAATTCATAAATTGTTTGACCATGTGTTGCGGGGGGAGGGAGGGAGAGGCGTCCTGGGGATTGAACTCAATCTGAGTGCTGTCCCTGAGCTTTTTTACTTAAGGCTAGCACTGTGCCATTTGAGCCACAGCTCTACTTTCCAGGATTTTTGGGTAGCTAATTGGAGATAAGAGTCCCATGTACCATCCTGCCCTAGCTGGCTATGAGCTCTCGTCCTCAGCGATCAGCCTCCTGGGTAGCTAGAATTACAGGTTTGAACCACTGCACCCAGCAAAAGTTGTATTCTTTCTGAATAGTTTGTCAGTATTGTATGAGAATGAAAAAGTATGCTATTTTTTAAACTGTTTTATTATGTGTAAGTAGTTCTATCATTCACCATGTGAGTTTATGAGGACAATACGTCTTGATCAATGTCACCCCCTTCATCCCCTCAATAGCATGTTGTTGTTTTTTATGTGACTGTAGCAGTAATACAAGTTTTGACAGTAGAGGAAGCAGTGAAGATATTAAGAGAGCCAGTATCCTACTGATCCGGAAATTATACATACTGATGCAGAACCTTGAACCCCTTCCTAACGATGTGATTCTTACCATGAAACTCCATTATTATAATGCAGGTAAGCAGAGACCTTTAGTTGAATTCCTAAGCTCTGAACTACTAGCTTATTTAACAGAAGGATTTTGCAAATATCTGAATGATGTCTGATCTTATTCACAAAATAGATCTGACTTATTCGTGTGTGTGTGTGTGTGTGTGTGTGTGTGTGTGTGTGTCCGTGCATGCGCCGGTCATGGGGCTTGAACTCAGGGCCTTGAGTTCTTATTTGGCTTTTTTTGCTCAATGCTGGGTGCTCTGTCACTTGAGCCACAGCTTCACTTCTAGCTATTTGGTGGTTGATTGGAGATAAGAGTCTAATGGACTTTCCTGCCTGGGCTGGCCTTGAACTACAATTCTCAGATCTCAGCCTCCTGAGTAGCTAGGGTTACAGGTGTGAGCCACTGGCACCCAGCTTGACTTTCTCCTTTGTGCCAATCCTGAGGCTAGAAATTAGGCTTAGGTACTGTCCCTGAGCTTCTGTTTTTGCTCAAGGGTAGTGCTGTATCACTTGAACCACAGCATCACTTGTGGCTTCTTCTGAGTAGTTTGTTGGAGATAAGAGTCTCATGGACTTTCCTGCCCCAGCTGGCTTTGAACTGTGATCCTCAGTTCTCAGCCTCCTGAATAGCTAGGATTACAGGTATTAGCCATTGGTGCCCAGCCTGACTTACTCTGTTGAAATGCTATTTTAATGACTTTTGCCCTTCTCATTTTGCAGTGACTCCGCATGATTACCAACCCCCTGGCTTTAAAGAAGCCGTAAACTCACACTTCCTGCTGTTTGACGGGGATCCTGTAAACATGCATGTTGGGGTAGTCTCCACTGGCTTTCATAAACTAAAAGTCAAGGTGACCACGGAGACCAACAGAGTGTCCGACCCGGAGGACAGCATGACTGAGATCGTCCATCAGGGCCTGGACTATGAGGAGGAGGAAGAGGAGTACAGCAATCAAGTAAGGCCAAGTTCTGGTGAGCCTCCACTGCTTGAGTTAAATGCAGTGGACCCCTTTCCATTTGAACACGGGGGCAGCTCACAATAACAGTCCAGCCGGGCATGCCAGGTGTAAAAACAGAAACAAAATGAACTCCTGACATCAAGGGGGCTTTAGCCAAAAAGTGTAGTCTTCAAGGAGGAGCGAGAAATTGTCTATGACTAGAGGGAGAGGAATAGTTGCCAATATATTTAATAGATTTGTTTAAGATACCCATGAATTTAGAACAAGTGGGAGTCTTGTTTTTTTTTTTCTCATCCTGGGACTTGAACTCAGGACTTGGGCACTCTTCCTGAGCCTCTGTGCTCAAGGCTAGCACTCTACCACTTGAGCCACAGTTGCACTGACTGTTTTTTTGTGTGTGGTTAATTGGAGATAAGAGTCTTACAGATTTTCCTGCCTGGGCTGGCTTCAAACTTTGATCCTCAGATCTCAGCCTCCTGAATAGCTAGGATTACAGGTGTGAGATACCAGTGCCTGACAAGGAAGTTTTCTGTTTTGTAAGTAACATATTTGTAGGAAGCATTTATACACAATAGAAATATACATTAGCTTTTGATTACTGGAAAGAAAATGGTAGTCAACTGTCACATACGAAGAGACAAGCTTTGGAATGAGACCACTGGGGAGAGCCGCGGGTGGGGGTTGTAGCTAGTAGGGTAGATAAGCAGGACTCTGAGCTCTTCACACCAGCATTATCTTCAGGACTTGGAACTGGGGACCTTCTGAGGCCTCACTGTATTCTAGGAGAATGTATACCATTAACTGACTTTCTGGATAATTGTATTTACTCTGTGCTGACACTGTATTAACAAGGTCTGTGACAAAAATGTTTTTAGGCAAGAAGGGATACTATAAAATCTTCTCATGACGTATTTGGAGACTAGCACGATAATGTGAGATAGTCTGAGTCCTTCAAGAAGCCAACTGGACTGGACTGGGTAACTTCTAAAGGTGTCTTCTAGGTCTTTAACTCTCTTTATGTTTAGTTCAATGAAAGAAGTCCTAGTCTTCACTCAATTAGTAGCAATAATTGAACCAAACAACATTCTATCTTCTTAGTGTTTTACCATGTCAGACATGAAAGACATGAAAAGCTTTTTTTTTTTTTTTTTTTTTTTGCTCAGTCGTAGGGCTTGAACTCAGGGTCTGGGTACTGTCCCTGAGCTCTTTTGGCTCAAGGTTAGTGCTTTACTACTTGAGCCACAGCACCACTTCTGGTTTTCTGGTGGTTAATTGGAGATAAGAGTCTCACAGATTTTCCTAGCTGGGCTGGCTTTGACCCATGATCTTCAGATCTCAGCCTCCTGAGTTGCTAGGATTACAGGTGTGAGCCACCAGTGCTCAGTGGAAAACCTTACATTTTGATGCATTTTTTCTTCTGATTCACTCAAGGAAGATGTAGGTAATATGGAAAGGCTAAAACAAGAATTACAGTTAAGAATTTAATTGACTTGTCTATACATGTGTGTTTGTGTGCACATGCACGTGCGTGAACAGAGCACACCATACTGGACACTATCCCTTAGCTTTTTCATTCAAAACTGGCACTCTACCACTTGAGCCATAGCTCCACCTCTGGCTTTTTGCTGGTTCATTGGAGATAAGAATCTCATGGAATTTCCTGCTTGGGCTGGCTTCAACCCATGATCCTCAGATCTCAGCCTCCTCAGTAGCTACGATTATAGGTGTGAGCAACCAGTGCCTACCTAGCTTAATTGGATTTTTTTTATCTTTCCAAAATTAACATTTTCTTTCTCTCTTGCCAAATGGAATGTAAACAGGTTAGCTTGTAAAGGAGTATTTTGTTGCTAGAGTAGATGTGTGGTAGCACTTCCTAAGCATAGGTTTAGTAGCGGTGTGTGTAGGAAGATCTGTGCTTGGTGGTGAACTTGGCTGATGCAGGTTCCTCCCTCTCACAGTCATGTGAGTGGTTAGTAAGCCTAGGATGCTGTCCACAAACATTCTTTTGTCCTTCAGGAAAGGCATGCACATTCATTCATATGTACATTCACATGCATACATATATTTGGGGAGCCTTTACTTAAAATTATTTTGAGAGATAGCATGTATCAAGGAAAGTATGTAAAATAATAGGTGCCATTTAAATAATGATCAAAACATCCATATACTCTCTGATTAGGCTAAGAAGTAGAGCATCGCTACTATCCTATAGCTTGCCATATACCCTTCTTCACGGCACCCTGCTCCCTGTAAAGGCCGCCACCCTGCCTTTTATGGTAATCTTTCCTTTGTATGTAGTAGTCATCAGACTCCAAGTATTCTATGAGATTTTGGTTGGGCATGGTGGCTGACATTTATAATGCCAGAAACTCAGGAGGTAGAGAGCAGGAGGATCATGGTTAGATACCAACCCGGGGGGTGGGGGTGGGGGTAAAAAAAAAACCCAACAAGATCTTATCTCAACAACAAGAAGCTAGCTGTGTTGGGACCTGTCTATCATCTTAGCTATGCAAGAAGCATAAATAGGAAGATAGACCCAGGATTGGCCCAGGTTGCTCTTGAACTATAATCTCAACAATCTCAGTCTCCCTAGTAGCTAGAATTGCAGCCATGAGCAACCAGCCCTTAGCTTTAGTGTTTTCTTAGTGAATAAGAGCTGAGTCTCCTGATGGGGTCTCACTGATGACATCATTCTCTCTCTAGTCTATTATCTTCTAAGAGTGCCAGGCCCTAAAACTGACAATCATTTTCAAATATCTCAAATTGATTTATTTTGTGTAATTCCAAGTGGCAGAAAGAGAGTCAGTAGATGAAATTACAGTTGGGAGCAGAGTAGGGGTTGATTGTGGCCCTCTAGGAAGAATATGTTTTGGTATTGAGCATAGAGCCCAGGCCTTATATATGCTCTACCCTGAGCTATAAGCCCATCCCCAGAAAGGAGAACTTTTAAGACAATATTATAGTAACACTAAAATAATTTTAAAAAAGTAATGCAAGCTGGGCACCAGTGGCTCATGCCTGTTATCCTAGCTACTCAGGAGGCTGAGATCTGAGGATTACGGTTCGAAGCCAGCTGGGGCAAAAAAGTCCCCTTGAGACTCTTAACTCCAATAAACTACTCAAAAAATCCATAAGTGGTGCGGTAGCTCAAGCACTAGCCTTGAGCACAAAGAGGCTTAGGGACAGCACCAAGGCCCTGAGTTCAAGCCTTAGTACTGGCAAAAAGAAAAAAGTAAGGCAAATCTTTCGATTGCTACTATGTTCATTTTTCAGTGTCATCCTCGGTATTTTTTCTTTTTTTTTCCTCTCCAGTATTTTTAATAAACACATTTATTTGAATATGATTTAAATCATGGTACATATGTAAATTTATTTTATACTTAACAGTAATTTTGTAAGTATGTCCTACCCTAATCTTTGTATTTTTAAAGTTTATTATTTTTTTGTTTGTTTCACTTAGGTATGCTATCATTTCTCTATTTTTTTTTTGGGTCCGGTCATGGGGCCTGAACTCTGGGCCTGGGCGCTGTCCCTCAGCTCTTCAGCTCAAGGCTAGCACTCTACCACTTGAGCTACCGCACCACTTCCGGCTTTCTTCTGTTTGCTTTTGTGGTGCTGAGGAATTGAACCCAGGGCCTCATGCATGCAAGGCAAGCGCTCTACCACTGAGCTACCTTCCCAGCCCCTCATTTCTCTACTTTTAAATATTGAAGTTGCTGTAGTTGGATATTGAATGTTCCCAAAGGCCCACTGTTAAAGGCTTTCTTCCCAGGCCGGTACTGGACTCTTTTCAGAAATGGTCCTAGTGTGAGGCCTTTAGGTCATTGGGGTCCCGTTGTTGAAGGGGATTAAGGGCCTGCCTCTCCCCCCTACCCTTTGTTCTCCATGTGCTCCGGCCATGGTGTGCTGTTCCGAGGCAGGTCCCCACAAGGGATAGGCCATCAAGGATGGGGACCTCGAAAACTGTGAGTCAAAATGAAGCTAGTTTCTTTATAAGTTGATTATCTCAAGCATTTTATTATAGTGACAGAAAGCCAACTACTAGTCATTTTCATTCCTGATTTTTAAATTATCAATAGTACTGTCGTAAATGCCTTTGCTCATATGAAAACACTTCCCCTCATTTTCAATGGATGTATTATTATCAGAAGTAAAATTTTTAAAGCTTGAAAATTAATATACTTCTTGAATGAGGAATATAATTTCATTTTCCAGAAACTGCCAGCTTCTCCACCTCATCAGGATGGATTTTCTCACAATGACAAGTTTGTAAAAATCTGAGCCTTGGGAGGGGATGAGTTTCCCGCCACAAGCTGTGCTCATGCGCAGATGCACACTGCTGTCAGGATAGACTGGGGGTGATTGCGTCTGGGAAGTTGCAGGAAAAATAACCCCACAATTTAGAGAAATGATTGAACTAAACTGATCTCTAAAATCTCTAACCCTGGGTTATTTTTGAATTCCTACTAAGAGAATAATGGCCACTGTGAGGAAAAGCAAGATGTATAAGATACAGTTTCTGCCCTTGAGAACTGGGGCTGAAGCTATAGCACCTGTATCTTTTGAGAAATAGTACCGCAGGGTATCTGAGGGACAGAAAGAATCTGAACAAACAGTATTGAGCAATGTTCTCAGAGCTTTAGATGTATTATCACATTTAGTCATTCCAGAACTTTAAGAGATAGATGCTATTGTTATCTTGATTTTGGTTTTTTTTTTTTTTGGGTCCGGTCATGGGGCCTGAACTCTGGGCCTGGGCGCTGTCCCTCAGCTCTTCAGCTCAAGCCTAGCGCTCTACCACTTGAGTCACAGCGCCACTTCCAGCTTTTTTTTTCTTTTTGCTTATGTGGTACTAAGGAGTCGAACCCAGGGCCTCATGCATGCAAGGCAAGCGCTCTACCACTGAGCCACCTTCCCAGCCCCTGTTATCTTGATTTTGAAAATGAGAAAACTGAGACTTGGAGAAATTAGCCCATGGCTTTATGCACAGTTAAATAAGTAGCAGGGCCAGAATCACAACCATAGTGCCTGGGCGCCAAATGTGCTCTTAGGATGTGAAAATTAGGATACGTGGGCACTGTGTG